AGTCCACTGTTCTTTCACTCTGTGATGTAATAACTCATTATGATGTAAAAACAATCTCTAAATTCATGTTGTATGAAAACTTGTGTAAAGGTGTATGAATACAACATGAAATAAAAAAGAAATAAAATACTAAATAATAGTAGTAGCGCGGGAAAGGAGAAGCGCTACTACTAATTACCAGTAGCGCAGTTCTGAGGAACCGCTACTACTAAGTCAATTTAGCAGTAGCGTGGATCTAGGCGCGCTATTGGTAAGGTTTAGCTGTAGCGCCTTATCAGTAGCGCTCCATCCCGCGCTACTGATAGGCCTAAAACCCACGCTGCTGCTAGGCTTTTCCTTAATAGTGGATGAGGGAAGGGGTGTGATGTGAGCTAGGTTTTGGGCTGCGGTGTGGGTGAGAGGTGAGGGGGCAAGGGCTACCGTTGGATCCAGGAGCATCCAACGGTGTTTGATGCATGATCCGCGTGAGATGGCTATGGCCCAATCAGAACGCAGTACGTGTGTATGACATTATGACCATCTAAAATTGGACGTTATGACCATCCAAAATTGGTCGAGGTCAAATAAAAATAAAATGTAAAGTCATGTCAGCATTTTATTTTTCATTTTTTGAGTGTCCAAAATGATTTTTTTGTGAAGAAGAAGCTACCAAATAATTGCACAAGGGTGCATCTTGAAATGGCAAACAATTTTGCTTAAGGAAGTTTTTATTTTCTTTGCATGGAAATTTCATTTTTCCATTTTTCGAGTGCCCAAAATGAGTTTTTTTGTGAACAACCTATCATATATTTGTTGCAAAATTGTATCACTCATTTTCCTAAAATACTAGGCCATATTTAATGCACAATTGACCAAATGATTGGGTGTCAAAAGTTTTTATCGACCTCTGATGAAAAAGACAAACTTCTGCTGATTCAGCTGGAAGCAGGTCAAATTTGAACTGCGGCTGCCTCATAGTTTGTTATTTATTTTTCCCAAAAATCATTTTTAGGTACAAAAGTATCTATTTAATCAGAGAAACACCAAAAGTTTTCAAGATTCAACCACTAGCTAGGAACGGTCATGCCCGCCGTTTTGACCGCATTTTGAAATGGGCATAAAAAACTAAAAAAATCAAAAAATTGGAAAACCTTCGCATTGTGTCATTATATGTGGCCAAGTTACTAGAAAAAATCATAAACTTGTGATACGATAATTATTTTAGAGAAGTGTTCTCAGAAACGAGCTATCATGTGTGGAGATCAATGGCTTTCAAGCCAGATGATCAATCTTATGGCCACATTAATGGCATAGTTTGTTCAAATGATCTCATATTTTGCACAATGGTACATATTGGAATGGCAAACAATGTTTCCTAAGGAAGTTTTCATTTTCTTTGGACGAAAAAATTATTTTGCATTTTCAGAGTGCCCAAAATAAGTTTTTTTTGTGAAGGACCTACCATATATTTGTTGCAATATTGGACCAAATTATTTTTATAAAATGGATCCACCTATCGTGAAAAAGACAAATTTCCGCCGATTCAGCAGGAAGCGGGTAAAATTTGAACTACAGCTGCCTCATAATTTTCTCTTTATTTTTTCCAAAAATCATTTCTAGGTACAAAAATATCTATTTAATCATAGAAACACCAAAAAAATTCCAAGATTCAACCACTAGCTAGGAACGGTCATGCCCGCCGTTTTGACCGCATTTTGAAACGGGCATAAAAAATTCAAAAAAATCAAAAAAATGGAAAACCTTCGCATTGTGTATTATATGTGGCCAAGTTATCAAAAAAATCATAAACTTGTGATACAATAATTATTTTAAAAAAGTGTTCTCAAAAACGAGCTATCATGTGTGGAGATCAATGGCTTTCAAGCCAGATGATCAATCTTATGGCCACATTCATGGCATAGTTTGTTCAAATGATCTCATATTTTGCACAAGGGTGCATATTGGAATGACAAGCAATGTTGCCTAAGGAAGTTTTCACTTTCTTTGGACGAAAAAATCATTTTCCATTTTTCCGAGTGACCAAAATAAGTTTTTTGTGTGAAGGACCTACCATATATTTGTTGCAATATTGGACCAAATTATTTTTATAAAATAAAAGGCCATATTTAATGCACAATTGATAAAATGGTTGGGTGTCAAAAGATTGGATCCACCTCTCGTGAAAAAGACAAATTTCCGCCGATTCAGTAGGAAGCGGGTAAAATTTGAACTGCAACTACCTCATAGTTTGCTCTTTATTTTTTCCAAAAATCATTTCTAGGTACCAAAGTATCTATTTAATAAGAGAAACACCAAAAGTTTTGCAAGATTCAACCACTAGCTAGGAACGGTCATGTCTGCCGTTTTGACCGCATTTTGAAACGGGCAATAAAAATTCAAAAAAATAAAAAAAATTGAAAACCCTTTGCATTGTGTCATTATATGTGGCCAAGTTACCAAGAAAAATCATAAACTTGTGATACGATAATTATTTTAAAAAAGTGTTCTCAGAAACGAGCTATCATGTGTGGATATCAATGGCTTTCAAACCAGATGATCAATCTTATGGTTACATTCATGGTATAGTTTGTTAAAATGATCTCATATTTTGCACAAGGGTGCATATTGGAATGGCAAACAATGTTGCCTAAGGAAGTTTTCACTTTCTTTGGACGAAAAAATCATTTTCCATTTTCCGAGTGCCCAAAATGAGTTTTTTTTGTGAAGGACCTACCATATATTTGTTGCAATATTGGACAAAATCATTTTTATAAAATAATAGGCCATATTTAATGCACAGTTGACAAAATGGTTGGGTGTCAAAAGATTGGATCCACCTCTCGTGAAAAAGACAAATTTTCGTCGATTCAGTAGGAAGCGGGTAAAATTTGAACTGCAGCTGCCTCATAGTTTGCTCTTTATTTTTTCCAAAAACCATTTCTAGTTATATAAGTATCTATTTAATCAAAAATACATGGTTTGGTGGCGATACGTTGAGGTTTGGATGGTGGCCGAGGGTCGCAACTCTAGAGCGCGTAAACTCGCATGCCCGCCGCATGGTCACCGCATGACCGTGGTGTTGCCACGCGTTCCGGGCGGCCTAGACATGTCTAGTGTGTTGGGCACTCCCCCGATAGGTGTCAGGAAGAAGAAGACAATAGAAGAATCTCACGAGGAGACTGTACTGAGCTCAAACATGAATTAGCACCCAAGTGTTTGATTAGTGGTGGGGAAAATGCACATGGCCAATGGGCCTGAGTTTTGGCCGAGGATGATCATCTACTAAGGACACTATCTTGAAAAATTTGCAGCTCAAATGGAGGAGCCTAGGTGTCACTTGCTTTGCAACGTACCACACTAGACATAAATATGAATGTTGAAGCTGGACTCAAATGAATGAATGGATTGATCTAAAATTTGGTGGACAGCTATGATTTGGGAATATAGAAGATGTGGCAAAAATTCAGCTAATTAGGATATGCCTAGCTAGTACTTCACAACAATTCAAGTTGAACAAAAACTTTGGAAATTTGCCGAGGAAGATTACCAGGCAAATGGAGCTGAACATTGTCATGAGGCAATGATTTGGATAGTAAAGAATGCCCAATTTTTTTGGGAATTTTGGGAATGACAGAAATATAGGTTGCTTCACAACCTAAGGCAACAATTGACACATGGACATGACACATAGGCAAAACTGATGAGGTGGTGCCTAGTCATAGCAATCCACCACAACTTACAAGGATATGACCATCTATATTGGTCGTGATCAGCTAGAAATAAGGCAGCGGAGCAGTGCTATCTGCTTTATGGCCATTTCGTGTTAGGAAATTACGACCTTTATGGCCAAAATGGTCGATATAGTTGAGGGTTTGGAGCCCCCCGAGCAGCTTTAGACCAATTGGTCTCAAATGGTCATAGATCTATGACCAATTCTTCCAGGGCCCCCGTCCCGCCTAACCCTAGAGCAGTTGACCACGAGATCTAGCCCTTTGACTTCCCACGGACGTGCTTTGACTAATGGACCTCTCCACCCGGTTGTGTTAGGTCAGCCCAGAGGGACACCTGGGAGCAACATCCGGGCCAAACCCACAACAACATCCCTTCCGTATAGACCCGACGCGTCCGTTTCCCCCCTCCAGGTGCCGGCGGCGGAGCCGTCCGTGAGGGGGGCCACACCCCGGAGACGCGTGCCGCCTCTTCAAACATGCCACCACACCACACAGCTGTGGTAGGTCATCCCATATAAACACCTGGGAGCAATGTCCCCTCTGTATAGACCCGATGCGACTGTTTCCCCCCTCCAGGTGTCGGCCGCCGCCGGCGACGCCGTCCGTGAGGGGGGTCACACCCCTCCGTATAGATTCGAAAAGTAAGGTATTTTTTCTTATATTAACACATGCTACATGTAAGTAAATTAAATAGTAATACGTAAAAGAACAAAAAAAATCTATAATAAATGCAAAAAAACTAAGCCGTCGGCATAGCCTAGGTCAGGGGCAGATGGACGGCGCATCCCGGATCGATGACGTGGTATCTATGCCGACGGCATAGGTGGTGGTCGGTGCGCCTCGGATCGATGACGTGGCACGCGCATCTGTGCCGACGGCCGGCCATCTAAGTCGTCGGCATATATCGGACGCCGTTAGCCGCAAGTCACGAGCAGGGCCGTCGGGCCCGCATCTATGCCGACGGCTGCTGTAGGCTTAGGCTGGGGCTAAGCCGACGGATGACATGTGCCGACGGTGGCCGTCGGCATAGCTCTGGATAGCCTGACGGCCACCCTACACCAACGACCTTGTGTCAGCTGTCGACATGTCCAGGAGTAGGCCGACGGTGGCCGTCGGCATATATTTGGTCGTCGGCCCCGGCCCCTGTTCCGGTAGTGAATAGAAATTTACCCCTGTTTATTATCTTTGCTTCGATGAGTAAGTTTTTTACAACAGAGATTAAAATTTGAAATTTTACCGTGAGGCAAGAAAAAAGATAATCTAAAATGACAGGAAACAACACGAGGGTCATCAGTCGAGCTTGACGGTGGAGAAGAGGTAGTAGACGAAGCAGAAGGAGGCGCCGAGCCCGACGGCGCCGGTGGCCAGCATGACGGCAAGCGCCATGAGCAGCGAGTACCCGACGTAGAGCGCGGCTGACACGGGGCCGCTGAGGCTGTGCAGGTCGAACACCAGGTAGTACACGGCGTACCCTAGGATGTACGCGGCCACGGAGCCGGAGGCGAAGAAGGAGCGCCACCACCACCGCCAGTCCTCCACGCAGAGCCCCATGTACGTGAGCACCACCGACACCTCGGCGCACACCGCCACCAGCAGCCCCAGCACCACCAGCAGGAACCCGAACACGTAGTACACCCGCCCCAGCCACAGGCTCGACATGATGAAGAAGAGCTCGATGAAGAGCGTCCCGAACGGCAGCGTCCCCGCCACGGCGACGAAAACCCACGGCGAGCACTGCGCCGCCGGCACCTGCCGCGCGATCTTGTTCGTCTTCACTGGGTACTCCACGTGGCCGCGCACGCGCGACGCCAGGAGGCCGCCGGCCAGGGTGAGCGGCACCGACACGAAGAACCAGAGCAGGATCAGCACCACGAACAGCGCGAACGGCACGGCGCCCGTGCTGCCGTTGTACCAGAGCACGCAGTTGAGCGCGGTGAAGACGGAGAACCCGATGCCCGGGAAGACGAACGAGGCCCGCCACGCCACGGCCTTCCACCCGGCGCTGTCGCCGTGCCGCACCGTCTTCCAGAGCCGCACGGCGGTGTACCCGGCGGCGAGGCCCAGGACGAGGTACAGGCAGAGCATGCCGCTGACGAGCGCGCCCCGGGACGCCGGCGACATGAACCCGAGCGCCGCGAAGAGGATGGTGACCACGCCCATGCCCAGGATGCGCACGCCGTCGCCCACCATCACGCACAGGAGCACCGGGTGACTGGGCTCCCGGAACGCGTTCCCAGCCACGAGCTTCCATCCGGCCATGTCGTCGGCGTGCGGCGCCGCCTCGCTGCCGAGCTCCTCGTACTGCTCCAGGTCGCGCCGCACGGTGCGCAGCAGGATGACCAGCACGATGGCCGCCAGGAACGCCACCACCACGATGGAGTTGAGGATGGAGAACCAGTGCACCTGAGCGCCGCCCATCTCGAGGTAAGCGTCCCAGCGCGACGGCCACTCCACGGCGCTCTCCACGAAGGACACCTCGTAGGAGAAGGCCAGCGGCTTGTTGGCCTGCACGCGCATGCCGACCACAGAAGGGTCGCACCCGGCGGCCGCCTTGGACGAGAAGCCGTCGTACATCTTCTTGTCGCTGATGGCCGCCTCGTCGTGCTCCACGCTGCACGGCACGACCTCGAACCCGACGACGGTGTACGCGCCGCCACCACCGCCGCCGCCGCCGGATAAGCCGATGAGTTCAGACGCATCGGCGGTGGCCATCAAGGCCTCCACCCTGGCCGTGGCATTCTTCTGCTTGTTGACCAGAACCGTGAGCCTGAGGTGGTTGTAGACGTAGTACTCCCCGTCGTCGGCGCGCACGCCGACCGGGAAACCCGTGGACCGGAGTAACACATCCGGCGCGATGGGATTATTCACATACCGGACCACGGGGAGCGTGTCGAGGAGGAGGTTAACGTGGTAGGCGTCGTCGATGCGGGACCTGATGAGGTCGGCGGCGGCGGGGGAGACCGGGTCGGTGCGGCAGAGGAACAAGGCGGCGGTGCTGTTGGTGAGCATGGAGAAGCGGTAGGGCGACGTCTCGATGCGGTCGCCGAGGAGGAGCTCGCCGAGGCTCTCGGCGGCGCGGTTGACGCCGCCTTGCGGCGCGCAGAAGGGGAGGGAGTAGTAGGGGAAAGGGAGCTTGGAAGACGGCGAGGTGAGGGAGTTCACCTTGGCGGCGAGGGCCTCGCCGGGGAGGTAGCGGTGCGGGTAGCTCCCCGGGAGGTAGAAGGCGGTCGCCGGAGAGATGTACAGATGCAGGAAGAGCATCATGAAGAGAAGAAGGGTGGACATGGTAGGGGAAGCCATTGCCGCCGTTGCCATTGCCTTGGGATTGCAATGCAGGAGCAGGAAGAGGCCTCGCCGGCCGGTGTGCTGCTCGATCCCTGTTTGCTGGGTGTGAGGCTCTTCTTATTGATGATGTCTGCTTTGTTGATTACTCCCTCCGTCCCGAAATACTTGTCATCAAAATGAATAAAAGGGGATGTATCTAGATGTATTTTAGTTCTAGACACATCACTTTTTGTCTATTTTGATGACAAGTATTTTCGGACGGAGGGAGTACCAAGCAAGGAAAGGAAAGGGAAGGGACGACCCAGCTCCACTCCACTGAATCACTCATCATCTCAGCCCAAGAACTGAGAGTTGACATCACTCATGCACGCCACGCCACGATTTATCCCCCAAATTTACGAAAAGGCACGTCCGGGCTGGGTGCTAGATCAAGCAAAGTTGAGACGACTTGGTGCTCATAACAGTTTGGCCCAACCAAAGCTGAGAATAATAGGTGCAATATCCCGACGAACAAGCCCGAGGAATTTAGGGATTCTAATATAAGTCTTTTTAGAGATTTCAATATGAAGTATATACAAAGCGAAATGAGTGAATTCACGCTCTAAAATATGTCTATATGTACATTCGTATGCAGTTCGTATTGAATTGAAATCTCTAAAAAGAATTGTATTTAAAAACGGAGGAAGTACATTAAGCCACTTTCTTTGTGGACAATCACGGCGATCCGCCCTTTGGCGGGCATCGACGGAAAGGCAAAGATGGACCTTGCCATGGAGTTTTCCGACGTCGTGTGGGTTGTTCTCCACTTTATAATGTTGCTACAAGATGCTTGCATGGAGAAGTGGTGGCGACTCTCAAAGAGTATGAAATCTTTTCAGAGAATTGTGACCGTTTTCCATTTTCTTGTCTTGTGTCTGTAACTCCATTTTCAACCGGTTTTCCACATTTTCAACCTTTTTTTTGGTGAGGTTATCAATACCTTTGTTGAATTAGCGTAGTTCTTATTAATAAGCAGATGGTTCTTTCCTAGCAAAACTGCAGAGCCTTCAGGCGGAATAGCAAGAAGGCAGCAAGAAACGTTATCATTTCCCAAGACATTGATTCAGTCTGTACATACAAACTCACATAAGTCAAGGCACTTGTGATTTTCAACAAGCACCACAGAATTGAACCAAAAGACATTGATTCATTTCCCAAGACATTGATTCATTTTCACTTGCCACTTCGTTTACCTATATTTTCACGGTGCCTCCCTAGTCAACATTGGGATTTGGGAGCTGCATTCTTGGCATACAGCTTCTTGCAAGAATCTTAAGAAATCCATGGCAACACACATGCGTCCCCCTACCAAACATATACCTCTCCGCCGCTAGTTTGGCGCGCGCTTCTCCCGGCAGCTCACTCCGCTGGTAACTGCAGGAGTTCGCGGATACCTTCACATACCTGCATTTAAACAGAATAAGAGGGGGTAACATCTGAGAATCACATCATCTACTGCATAAATGAAGCACCTAGTTCATCGTACATACCATCTTGATCTGCGCCTTTATGCTCGCTATGAGGTGTGTGTACTCGTCTATTTGTCTGCAAACATTTCAAGAGTTTACAACATTAACATGTGAATGAATGAATGTCAACTACATAGAATAAGGAGCACGTTCAAGCATAAAAAGGGAAATTACAACAGCCAGGATATGGATGTCGTACAAGGGCCCAGCATTGACAATGACTGTCAGTAAGACAACACACTAGATGAACAGAATCAGCTTTCCCTCTGTACAATGTGTAATACTTATGATAAATAAGTCTCCTCCGTCCAGCATCTGATGGCTGAAGCGAGCATCAAGCTCCAACCATGAAATGGACACCATGAATAGTTAAATACAAATATTATCTACAAATCTTAAGAGCCATCACAATGCTCATGAATACCATCTCTTTCTCTTGTCCTTGCTTCACAAGAAAAAGAGAATCCAAGCACTTCACCTAAACCAAAATTTTCTACCAACTACAATAATATATGGCTAAAACAAGTACACCTATATACTATCCACACAAATTGTGTAGAACAGAGGATGAAGCACCTGAACCTCCCTCGAATCATCAACAACTCTTTAGCATAACTCCCTTCTCACAAACACATGTTGCATGTGTGATAAAAACTGCTGCGCAGAAGCAAGATCTGATATTCAATTTGAGTTGAGTTACCTGGCCAACCTTGCTTCTTGTACAGATATAAACTGCAGAGCCTCTTGCCAAGTAAATTCCACATGAAAACCTAGACCGATATCCACAAAAATGTGCCTCGTGTCCGGCCTGCAGAAATCACAACAGAATAATGCAATAAGATCTCAAAAGTTCAAGAAATCTGAAGGTAGGCTTATGTTCGAAACAGTCAATTCTCATTAGCGCTTCACAATAATGATCTGAAGCTATTCCAACCTTTTAATGTTAGGCTAACAGCTGGTTAAACAAATGTAGTTAAAATAAGAAGCAGCATAAGGACATATCAAAGGAAGTTCCTTGTTTGCTTGCTATACTGTCTAATTATCTGAAGCTATTCCAACCTTTTGATGTTAAGCTAACAGTTATTAAACAATTGTAGTTAAAAAATGAAGTTAAAATAAGAAGCAGCATAAGGACATATCAAAGCAAGTTCCATGTTTGCTTGTTATACTGCCTAATGGCCAACTGCATTCTTCCAATTTACAAAGTGAACACCAAACAAATTCACTTGCATGCTATCTCCATATGCGAGCACCACCATTTTCTTATGTATTTTTCAGATGCATATAGAAGCACCTTTCTCATGTCTATCCTACTGCAAAAGTTACATCAAGCATAGAGCTACTCATGTCGACAATGACAAGCATACCCACATTATGAGGTTGAGTAATGTAGTCTCGCCCCTAAACAGTGCAAACCACCTACTCTAATAATACATATTTTATTTTATGGTCTCTGACTTCACTTAAATTAGGATTAGGATAATAGAAATTCTTCCACTAGATATTACAGAGAAAGCGAGAGAGTCTTTGTTTTTTGCAAGAGAGTTTTGTTACTATATGAATTATGTCTAACTAATAAGTTACAAAGCAAATCCACTAGAATATGTTGCAGATGTCTACCCAGAGTGAAAGGAAAAGGCATAAGAACTTCAGACTGTTTAGGCGGGGGAGAGGGAAAAGGATGTTTTACACTTCTGCCTGCATGTAAACCTCTGAGCCAAGATTGACCATGGATCGCATGCTCGTTACACCATTCTTTTCCCAAGTTTTCGATGTTCTTCTTCAGATCCAAGCTGGCAACACCCAATAAAGGTTCATTGATCAGAGGAATGAGGAGTACTAAGGCCATATATTTGAATAGCTGGAATCAAGGGGCCTAAATGTTTCAGTACAGCTACAACACAAGCGAAGACGAGGAGAGAACAGGGTAGCTTACAAAGTCTTCTGCTGCTGGAACAAGTTATCACGCTGGGCGATGGCGTTCACAAGGTCAGGCTTGAGCCGCCGGTCAACGAAATCTTCGAACTTCTTCACCTTGTCCTGCCGGAGACGCGCCTCCGCCACGGTCATGGCCATGTCCCCGACGGTTTCCTTTGAGGTTCGTGAACCACGGGATATATAATGTCGTACAGGACAGCGGCTGCGGCAACACTTCTGTCATTGCAAGGAAATGGAGTTTTAAAATTAACAGATTAAGGTTTGTCATTTGTTGATGTGACATAATCTTCAAACTGATATGGTGTGTTTGCAACCATGCTAAAATAATCGGCAACTCCGGACATGGTGCTCACAATAAGCTTAACCAACTGTTACAAATATCATATGTAGACCACCATTTATCTCTACATAGGCATATCCAATACATATCACAGTTTATTAAAGGACAGTGCTAACTTTCGAGCAGTCGCCAGATAAGGACATACTCCACACAGTACGGACCACAGTAGCAAGCGGAGGTAGCAATTGTGAGAGCACGCACGCAGCACGCCGAGCACACGCGCAGCAGGCGGACCACTCACGCTGCCGCGCCCGCTGGTAGAGGGGGAGGCAGCCGATAGGGAGAGGGCCGGAGAGCGTTACCTTGCCGTCGGTCGGGGGCTTGGGGGCGGCTTCCGGTGCGGGGAGGCGTCCGTGGGCTCGGCGGGAGGACGCGGTAGACGGGACGGCGGAGGGAGTAGGTTGAAGGCTTGTCGGCGGTGGCTTCGGGGACGAGAGGACCGAATCCAGTCACCGGAGCAGGCGGCGGGCGGCGGCGGCCATATACCGGGGGCCAAAGCTTTGGGGATCGTAGGAAGTTCAGGCTCTTGTGTGGAGGCCAATGACGGTGGCGAGGAATGGACGGCCGAGCTTTTGGCAAAGAAATAAAAACACCGAGAGGTTTTCCCTTGAGGTTTGGTTTATAGGAACTTTGTAGGAATTTCATAGGACAGGATTTGCAAGAAAAAATTACTTTAAAGAATTCTTATTCCTATGTAGGATAGGAATCAATCCTTTACATTTTGGAGGAAAAAGAACATTAGCCTAGACTCAATGAAAAAATTCCTATCCTATGCATCAAATGACATCTCTTCCTATATAGGAATTGAGATGTATGTCATCTCACTCCCTACGATTTTCCTATTCCTATCCTATGAACCAAAGGAGACTTAAACTTGTTTGCTTCACTCCCTCAAAAAAAAATCCAAAAGAAAAAACTTGATTCACCTCGTTAACTCACGTCGGTAGAGGATATAATCCATCTAGGGGAATTTTTTGTGAACCAACCTGTGGTTGATGGCTAGGAGGATAGTGATATTCCCAACCTGCTTCGCCCATTGGCACTTTTAGCACTAAAAACCGCCACAATGTAAAATTTAAGTTTGATTTTATATTAAAATCAAACAGAACTTAAAAAAGAGAGAAAATCAAGTAAATTGAGGTGTAGATCAATAGACCGAGATTTAGGTCATGGGGGTAATATTTCTCCCACCAGGTTCAAATTCAGTGTGCTAAATAGACTTTCTTTTCGAGGGAAATGTTTTA